GCAACTATGCCGGTGTACAAATCTAGAATTTTGTTTTTTATGAAATTGCTCCTCACAGGAGTCCACGCAAGACTGACTCACTTTGAAAAAATTACATCGTGTCCTAAAACTCAAACCAGGAAATTTTATAAAATTGCGTAATCAGTGGCCCCCGTCCTAGGCTAGTTATCGTCTGTCTATGGGCCCCGATAACTAATTAACACTAGATGGGCCGATCACTCATTTACTAGTCTAAGCAACAAATGATAATAACCGTACCCAGATTTTGAGATTTACTGGTGGTAGGACCTCTTGTGAGTCCGCGCGGGTGGGTACCACCACCCTACCTATTTCTGCCGTGAAGCAGTAATGCGTTTCGGTTTGAAGAGTGGGGCAGCCGTTGTAACTATACATGAGACCTTAAAACTTGTATCTCAAGATGGGTGGCGCATTTACGTTGTGGATGTCTATGGGCTCCAGTAACCACTTAACACCAGGTGGGCTGTGAGCTCGTCCACCCATCTAAGCAATAAATAAAAAAAAAGATGTTAAAAAAATTCAATTTATAGAAATCTGCAGACTTTTTTCTTTTTATTACCCTTGTAGGCAGAAGAGCATACGGCCCACCTGATGCTGAGTTGTTACCGTCGCCCAAGGACTTCAGCAATGCCAGGGGCAGAGCCAAGCCGCTGCCAACCGACAATTACTATTATGTCGCACGACACTACGCTTACTAATCATAGACTGTTTAAACAAAAATCTTATAAATTATATAGCTAATCGCATTAAATTCTTATCACGACTAAAGTTTGGGAGTTTGAAATTTTAAATATTATCCATTCATTCAATGCCACGTTAACAGTTTCTTAAATAGGACGAGTATGAAAATATATAGATGAGTTATTTTGGTCTAGTTAAATCAGCATAAGCATCTAAGTAAGTGGTTTGAGGAAAGCAATGACATGTTAATGATTCAAGACCAGATAAATAAAATTCCTGAAACCGCTAAGACAATTTCGATCGTTCAACTTGAACGTGACATCCGGAACAACGTTACGAAAAATAAAAAAGTTTATCCGAGGACTTAGCCTTACTTCGTTGGCCTGACTCATCTCTGCCGCAGCACTCTCTTATCGTAGTTAAAATCAATACGGTATCGACTTTCAAAAACACCAGCATTTTTGCGTCTAATGACATCACCCGAAATGACTTTACATCCGAATCGCCAACCTTCAAGGCTTGTTTCGTTGACGCCATAATATCGTTAATTACCTAAAAAGCAAATTGTGAAGTGAAAGCATCAGTCGAGCAGTGAGATTAAGAAACAATCGAACTCGAAAAGAACTAATCAGAACCGCGGTTGGTTTTACAGAACGAAGTGAAAGTTTGTTATTATACCTACCATATTATAAGAACAAAAATTTATTCAATCGAATTACAACAAAAATTATGTCTATTGTCGAGTTAGTCGTGAAGGTCAATAAGGAGCATAGAAAGGCTTTAAATATTTTCTCTCGCACGTGCGCACATAAACAATGAGGTTTTCAGTGTTTTCTTAAATCCGACTTAGCGGTGAGAGTTAGTTCCCAGTAGTATAATTCTAGTTTTGGTAATAGCTTTAACTTTATGCCAATTTCAAGTAAAAGGTAGGGAAACTACACGCGGGCAACAAAAATAAACAAAGACATCAAAAGGAAACAAAGGGATAAGCTAGTTAAAAACAAAATATGGACATAAACTAACATTAAATCTTAATATTATTATTGATTATGAAAAAAGATAATACATTATAATACAAAAAAAGGATAAAGCAAATAGCAGGAGATCTTAGTCGGAAACGGAGCATGTAGTAATTGTAAAGAATTCAGAAAGGTCATATTGGGAACAAGAAAAGAAATATATGGTCGAGGTCACCGATATCTTCTTTTCGATATTAATTCAAAATAAGGTGAAAAAATAAATATTTCTAATCAAATAAATTACAGCGTATTTGGGACATAAAAAGGTAAGTTTTCAGCAAATTTCGTGCAAAAAGATTGTTTTTTGAAAAAGATAAAAATAAAAAACCAAAAACTTGGTTTTTTTAATTTTTCACTTAAATTTTGAGGTTATGTGAAAAAAGTGTAAATACAAAAGTGTTAGATATTTTATTACCTACAACTTTGCCGTTTGACTTTTTTCCATAGGACTTTTAGTTTTGCCGGAAATCGAGAAAAACCGTTTTTTACCCTAAACCTTAAACCCCCCCCAACCCCTTCCCGACCTCAGATCGCCCGTAAATTATTTTTCCTTTCATTTTTATAATATTCCCCTCCTTTTGTAATGGGTTTCATCCTACTATTATTTTTTTTGGTTTTAAAAATTATCGACACTGGTCTATGAGGTGAAAATCTAGTTTACAATTTATTAAATTAATATATTCATATTAGACCGAGGGTCTAAATGTTGTTGTTCGGAACTTGTATACATGTAAATTTATCTTGAAAGTCTCGTTAACACGATTCAGGCATCTGCCTAATATCTTCTCATTATGATAGCTACCGCCACAATAATGTAGTTACTTAACTTTTGCAAATTGTTTTTCTCAACATCTGCGTATGTAGTAGATTTAATTGCTGTTATTTTTCGACTGTACATAAATGTAACTAAAGCTGATAACATCACTGCTATTCTCAAAATGTTCAGAGCTACAAAAAAGAAAAACAAACATTGCGAATACTATGACAGAAGTACAAAGGAGTCTTTGTAAGTTCCAATCAAAATACAGGTTAGTAGAGCGATGAATGCATTGATCGAAGAGCGACCGATACATCTTAAAATTTAATCTCACAGCAGGTGAACAATTACAAATGTTGACAGTGTAAGCTAACAAGATATTATAGGCACAATGAACATTTATTAAAATATTGAGACAGCAAATCGTCTTGTATTATTCATTCCATAATTGAATGCAATAGAATATGTCAAAAGCCTAGTAACATAATTAATTGTGATCTTAATGTTAATCGAAGTGCAAATAGAAACAAATTATTTATGTGTATGAAGAACCCTTAAGTTAAAATGTGTAATAGTAAGAATATAACATTTAAAAGAATAATCACAGCATTTATCAACTCAATAAAAATGCGTTTTTTTCATTCGTTTCCCAAAAAAATACAATGACCACGAACTTTTGATGCACAAATGGCAATGGATAATCGTCATTTGACAGGTTTATTAACCTGATCAGCTACAAACGTGACTTTGTAATCGGCAAATCGCAAGGTGCATGACCGTGAAAAATTATACGAGATCCGAAACAATCGGGCACGGACTTCTTTCATATGACAGATGACAAATTTCTGATTACACTAGAGGTCCCGCAGTAGTCGAAATTCGACTATAATTAATTGAAATGAAAAGTTTGAACGTTATTATAGTTCTATTGTCAAAGACTATTATACTTCTATAACCACAGATTTTGCCAAGACTACACTATAGACAAATAAACAATATTAACCTATTCTCAATTTAATCACAAACTATCAGAGCAACAAAAGTTTGACAATAAATATAGAGTATTCGTATGCGTGTGTGTCAAATACATGGTAGTGTGTGTAACGTTTTTTTTTATTGATTTAATGTATTATTAATGCATAATTAAAAAAAAACATACCATTCGGCACTCGTTCGCTATATTCTCTATAAGTGTGGAAAATTTCATACTCCTCCGTCCGCGCAATTTTCGTAAAAAGGGATACAAAGTTTTTGCTTCACGTATTAATATATAGATTACAGATGCAGTCTAATAAAATTTAATTTTAATCTTAGTACCAATTTTTACGAAAATTACGCGGTCGGAGGAGTATGAAATTTCCCACACTTCTAGAGAATATAGTGAAGTAGTGCAGAATGTTAATATTTGTTTTAATTATGCATAAAAAAATATATTAAATCAATAAAAAAACATTACACACACTACCATGTATTTGACACAGACACGTTGGTGGTAGGACTTCTTGTGAGTTTGCACGGGTAGGTACCACCACCCTCCCTGTTTCTGCTGTGAAGCAGTAATGCGTTTTGGTTTGAAGGGTGGGGCAGCCGTTGCAACTATACTGAGACCTCAGAACTTGTATCTCAAGGTGGGTGGCAAATTTACGTTGTGGATGTCTATGGACTCGAATAACCACTTAAAACCATGTGTGCTGTGAGCTCGTCCACCCATCTAGGCAATAAAAAATAAAAAGAATAGATATTTAGACCGAATGACCGAAATAGAGACTAGGATAAACGGAATTGTGTCTATGGACTTCACACTGACACACAATGACACATTTTTTTGTTCAGTTTTATAATTACTGATAGCCAATGATTTTTTATACAACAAATATGTTATCTTCATAGTAACTGACTCTTCAAATCTGATCGCGCCATATATATCTACATACCTACCGATATAGTGCACACACATGTTGACAAGTAGCATTAATGAAAAGTACAAAAGATGGGATAACCGCGTGAGTAAAAAAGATAGCTATAATTGGAACGATTGCACTTGTTATATTATTATTGCATTTGTTTAGACGCGACTAAAGACGAAACGTCCCAATTGGTCTGTTTTCGAGTCTTCACTTGACGTGCGCTTGAAACATATCTGCTTCTTTTTACATATAAAATATCATTGCTGATAGCACTCATGTTGTATACGGAACACGCTAGTTCTATGATTATTTTATACACGGTTAATGTGTACGCTAACTGACTTGAAGTAGCACTCACTCGAAGAATCATTATATTATAGTTAATAGCTTTTAATTTCTAACAACTTTTTTAAAGCTTACCCGAGGAGCTTTTTATAGCATATATTAGATAATTACACTTTTATAGTTTTCTAATATTACTGTTTACTTGATGCGGTCAAGTTGAGAGAAATTTGAATCAAAAAAACAGACTTTATAGCGTTTTAAATTTGTAAGTTGTGGTAGCATCATTGCAAAGTTGATTTCTTGATAATTAACCAACGCCTTTATTGATTTCAGACGGTGCCTTTACCAGCAGGATCGACTTCCGTGCTGGCTAAGCCAACAAAGTATCACTATTATCCTCACAATCAACATATCTATTTGCTACCAGAATGCGCTATTCAACAGGTAAGTCACTCTTGTTTAATCACGACAATATAACTTACCTAAAGATGTTTGACAGTTTTTAATGTCTGAGAAGCAGAAATACGTTATGTCTGTCGCCTAAATGATATAATCAGGCCCTAAAGTTGTTTCATTAGAAATAATTTAACAATTTTCTCAGTAACGGTGTAAGTTAAAAGGCTATTAACCGTATCGCAGGTATGCAACGCTGTATACGTGAGATTGAATTACACGCAGCCGCTCTGTGCGTGCCCGGCCCGTTACCGTGATCCGTGCTCGGCCAGTCTCAACGCTGACGATCTGCATACAACTCGGCTCGTTACCGATTCCAAAAAGAAGGTAAGAATTTTAATGAAAACACATTGCTGTTTTATTACGCACTCGTATGCGGTTATGTTTGTGTTGGAAGGAAATAGACTATAGGTCTTGAGAGGCTGTTTTAGCTTCAACCCAACGTGTAGATGAGCTCGCGGGGCTTAAACCGGAAGTGTTGCTAACATTGGCCCTAGCAAGAGCAGTGCTTTATGCACTATGCACATAAACATATATACAGCAGATTAAATTGCTTACTGTATCAGTCACTATAGAGATTTGAAACTCATTTGCTAAATGATTTTCGATATGAATTAATCTATATTTTAGCTACACCACGCCTATTTACAGGACATCCGCATTGGATCGTGATTCAATGCGATTTTCGATGCTGCGAAATCGTGAATGATTTAATTTTGATTTACACGGGAATATCCTGTTGAAGTTATTGCAAAATTTTCACATTAAATTCCTTTTTTTTTTCTCTGCCTAATCGCCAGTAGCCTCGTGGGGTTATTCCAACCACGCAGCATTTGGTAGGTGAGCTCAGGAGCTCAGACGTAGAGAAATTGCTAACACTAGGCGCAGCAAGAGTGGTGCATCGCCTAATCCACTACCATATCAGAATCACGATCGACTGAGAAGATCCGGTGAGAAACTAATGGGTTAAGTTATACGTCGAACTCTTCGACGAGTTCAACGAGAACGGTGACTTAAAACACCGCGAGTAGATCGGGAGGAAGCAAATTCCAGAAACAGGTTCAGCTACGACCGTTGCTTGTAAATGTTGCGCTTTGATAGAATATTGTTTATTTACAGTTTGCTAATAAAGCAGTTACCCTCGTTAAGACCTGCGAAGCGGTCTCCGAGATAAGGGAATGCCGTGTCCCAAAGGACTGGTCGTTGATGGCGTTGCAGAACATTAGAACGGGAAAATCGCACTACCTGGTCATCTGTAGATGTCCTAACAACTACATACTAGGTAAAAAGTTCCCAAATTTATTTGGCAATATAATCATGACATCATAAACAAAAGATAGGATTTACATTTTACAAAGATCGCTCACATACGGACTTGAGCGGATATTTTTCTTGGACTTTGTATCTTTAGGTCAATTACATAGAGCAAAGAGTCAAGAATTGATTTAGAACAATAACATATATTCGGTTATTAAAAAAAAACTAAAACAGGAATATATTTATAATTCAGTTAGAAATGAATAAATTAGAAACCTTTAGAAACTGTAAAATGAATCCATGTTGCGGTTTATGATATCATTGTCACAGAAGTTCGGCCGTGCGAGAAAGATAACGCGATGTGTTAATCTCGGTGCGAGTTTTTCATCAAATTATACAAGTTATTTGAATTTGATTTAAAAAAAAAAAACTTACAATTGCTAGTACATATTTGCATAAATATCTCTTACATAGTAAAAAGTACGTTAGTCTATCGAAATAATATGTCAAGACTTGTAAAATTTAAGACAATAATTGGATTTGGATAACGTAACTTAAAATTGGACTGAAATAAACTAAAGTACGATGTTTTTTGGCTAAATATAATAAGTAATAAGGCATCGTAGGAACTATTGTTGTCACCCGAGTTTTCTACAACACACATTGCGGACTTACAAGAGCAGAACAGATAAACGATACTTGGATTAGCAAATGGATATTTTTTTGGATATTTTTTAAGATTTTGAGAGAGATTTTGGTATAAGATGTATTTGCTTTCCCAATAATATGATCTTTGTTTCTCGCAGAAGGGCCCATTTCACACGAGCAACCAACGTACGCATCCGTTCCCGGTATCAGGGTTTACGGTATGATGTGTGTTCCTGTAACTACAACAGCCTACCATACCGGTATGTTTAATTTTATGTAATACTTTAAAGGCGTTGCATAAGGCTAATCATTCATGCATTCCGATTTAAAGACTAGGGTACCTGTTATTCGAACGTAATGAAAATAAATATCCCTGTTCACCTTCATTAAATGTGTCACAGAGCTCTCCTATTTGGCTACAAGTGCTTAAGCCTAAGCAATTTTCATTATGTGAAACGCCTGAGACGATTTGATGCAGATATCATATCAGCCAATCGATTTGTGAGCACGCAATGCAACGTGTACTTTTGTCATTACAATAATTATCGTTTTTTTTTCCAGGATTATACAATCGCTACACTGGAGTACAAAGCAGCACGGTCGGTTATAAAGTGGACTATTCGCAGCCCAATTCATATTTGAACAAGCCAATCTATAACAGATATCCCGCCAATCCGTATCCAGAAACTAATTTCTACAACAGAAGATCCCGAGTGGCCAGAATGAGAAGAGCAGCCACATACCCACCATTCCCTTGGTACAAAGTCTTAGAATTAGCGAGATCATTGCATTGGATTTAGATTAATTTAATTGTAATATTAAAGAACAATTTGTTGAGTTCATCGAGGCTTCGTTCATTAAACTTATTTTAGGGTTAGCTCTCTCGTACTTTCGGGTTTTAATTTTGTTTTGTTGATTAACATGTCATTGTGTTCGTGAAAGAAAAAATATTTATATGCCTATAACTAATCTAAAAGTTCTGTAATTAGCGCAATTCAATAAAGATGTGTATTGATGACTAAAATTATTAAATCAGAAATAAATTTAAATGTTTATGGCGGGATCAACCCTTTAGTAACTTAAATTTGGTATAAAACCTCTTTGAACCCAACGGATACCAGAAAAGTTTGGTTAGTTCCGAAATGAATATTCTGGAATGTAGATAATATGTATAACCGAGCTGCTTTATTATGTTTTCCCGCCTTAAATTAATGTTTAACGCGGCGAAAGGGAATCTATGCCTACGGAATACCTACTCAGTGTACAAGTGCATTTACTAGAGTGTAGTTAAGATTCGAAAAACGTATATAATTTTAAGTAAATTTTTATCGGTGATAATCATTTTAGTGTATTATAAAAACTGAAATGTGTGTGATGTTCTCAATAACGAACGGATTTAAGCTCTTTTATTAATGAATAACTATGTCTCGATTGTGTTTCATTTAAACAAGCTCAATTATTTAAATTTAGTTTTATTTTTGCCAGAAAATTAGAAATTACAATGTCTATAGTATTAAGTGTTTCGGCTTTTAAATTAGTATTGCCCACCATCACAGAAAAAAATAATTAAAATTGAGTTTTTGTTAATTATTTAAAATGATTCGGTATGTACTTCGAATATAGTATATTTTCAAATGAATTTATCGTTAAGTATTTTACAAAACACAATATTTATTGATCTATTTATATTAAGCTAAGTTGTAAATAGTAGATTAATTGATTGCAGCATTTGTAATTACAATAATAAATTTCTAGGATTGTAGACTTTGTTTTTTTCGTTCCCTCAAAAAAAAGTATCACCAGCTGTAATTTCTAACAAACACTTCTATAAGTATAGATGGCATTATTATTTCGAGTTTATGACTGCTCTGTTTCATATATTATTATATTAGTTTAGACGTAAGCTTGAATTTAAGCTTATCAATGAAGATATACAAAATGGTTTATGATCTGGATATTTGGACCACTACATTGGAGAAACAGCTACCCTAAGCTTTAGATTTGAACTTGGAATTATTTTGACGCAGAAATAGTAAGTAGTACATACCAGTGCAAGCCTAACAGTAAAATCTTACTACATTTTTTTTTTTATTGCCCGTGTAGGCAGACGAGCATACGGCCCACCTGATGGTGAGTGGTTACCGTCGCCCATGGACTTCAGCAATGCCAGGGGCAGAGCCAAGCCGCTGCCTACCGCTTAATACTCTCCACAAGCCTCGTTTGAAGAAGGACATGTCATAGCGCTCGGGAAACACCGTGGAGGGGAGCTCATTCCATAGCCGGATGGTACGTGGCAAAANACACTGTATCCGGCTGGATCGGTGGTCAGCAGAAGGTCCAACAGAGAAGGCTCGTGCCCCTCAATATCTGGGACACGGGTGGGCTGTGTCACCAGCTGGGAGAGGCCGTAGGCCAGGGCGAAATCGTAGGCAGCCCGACCCGGGAGGTCAGTGGTTCTGGACCCCAGCCACTCTTGGTGGTGAGCGTTAAAGTCTCCAAGAACCACTACCTCCGCAGATGGGTACTGCTCAAGCACGCGGTTAGTCCTCTCTTGCACATGCTCTATCAGAGCTGAACCTGCATCAAAAAATTTCTATTCTATCAGCCCATAGACGTCCACTGCTGGACATAGGCCTCCCCCAAGCCTCGCCACAAAGACCGGTCCATGCTACGTCTTCCGGTAGGCGGATGCCACTGAGGAACTTAACTACAGTGATTAGGCAAATTTATAGATCTCATGGTATTTGGTTTTTATCACACGATGCTAATTCAGTTATCTTGGAAGACGTTTGGGAATACCTCACATGTACATGTTTGATTAGAAACATTGGTACCTCGCTGCGGGATTTTAACGCAGATTTGAACAGCGCGTTGACCTAGCATCATCTCATCTCTTCACCGGGGAAGTCGCAAAATACGGCTAAGAGATTCGATCGGAGAACGATCAGCAACTTTCTTTGATTAGTGTACCAGAATACCGCGATCGACAACTGGCATGTACTGGTAGTATGGTGTTGTATAAGTCTATAAGGTTAAGCACCACAATCCGGCTTACTATTGCTCAAAAGTACTCATACGTTGTGGTAGAACCTCTTGTGAGTCCGCGCGGGTAGGTACCACAACCCTGCCTATTTCTGCCGTGAAGCAGTAATGCGTTTCGGTTTGAAGGGTGGGACAGCCGTTGTAACTATACTGAGACCGTAGAACTCATGTCTCAATGTGGGTTGGGAGGAGCTCACAGCCCACCTGATGTTAGGTGGTTACTGGAGCCCATAGACATCTACAACGTAAATGCGCCACCCACCTTGAGATATAAGTTCTAAGGTCTCAAGTATAATTATAGTCTAGGATACAGTAATTCAGTTCATGTTGGATTTGTTCGACAAATATATTTAATACTTCGAGTTAGTTAGAATAGATCCGTGTGGGATTTACAGTCTCACCGCATCCCAATATCAATATATCAACACTGTCGCGTCTTTACAATGATTATAATCTGCGTAGATTTAGGAGGAGGTCGCGATAGTGACCAGGCGTATACATATGCAAATTTAATACCTAACGAAAAGCTCTAGCGTCCGCAACGTCTGCGTAAAATATCTCATTTTCATAAAATAATAACATATACAGTAATACAGGGAATAGAAACTTAGAGTTAGAATAGGGACAAATCTGGGATGTCACAATACTTTTGTCGAGTTGTTAGAATATAACTTTGTTGAACTGAAAATGACTTTTATTTTGTGTTTAAGAATATTTAATAGTTTAATTTAGTCATCAAAGTTTTGTAACTCATTAAATATATTAAAAAGATAATTACCTAAAGTTAGGTACCTATAACTAAATAGTGACAGCCCTATCGAAAAACTCTATTGTCCCCATACGAAATCTGAATCACCCCAAAGCCAAGGTGAATCGGGTCAAGCTAGTTTTTTCAGTTGTTTTGTGTTTATTTTGTAATTAAATATGTCTAATAACGCATCGTACATAAAATTTTAAACCTCCATACCATTTTAATCTCAATTTTATTGGTATTACCCTAAGAAAATGGATTTGAAAAGGGTCCAGATTCCTCCCAATCTACAGTACATACTCGTAGTTAATTATCTATTCGTTACTACTATCTGTCGATTCAATAACAAACACCCATTGTACTTACCTAAAACTTTCTGGTCGACGGCTATATCGCAAGAGTACATGGCCGCCATCAGCCTCTGTGGTTGCACTTGGAAAGCTTTTCTGCAGCCCTCCTTTACTGCTGATACTATTTGACCTGTTTGAAAATATGTGACTATAGACATTACTATAGACTATAGACAGGTATTCATATAGACTGACGTTACTGGCACACTTAGACGTCGCTAGCGACATGTATATACAAATACAAGTTGTTAATCAAAAACAGAACCGCTTTAAGGTTCAAGAGGAAACGATTATCTCGTGGTGTTCAACTCCTTTAGATCGAGAATATCTTAAAGATATGCCTTAGGGAGACCAGTTACCTGTATATAGATAAGAAACTAGTAGACCGAACATAGTATACAGATACATACAAAGAATAGTTAATGATTAAAAATAAAAAGTTAATAATGAACTAAATGTTAATGCAACAAAATGCAATGGTCTTTCCAAAGAAGAAAACTTGGAATTGTTATATTTGTTTGAAAAAAAAATTGAACAGTTACAGATTAGAAAGAAGAAATACAGGTAATCCTCCCATAACACGGTAGATACGTTCCTACAAAATCCCTTGTGCCAAGCCGTTTATATGAGACTAGAAGTCAGTACAAAAGGACAGTAATTTTTTTGAATGAAATATCTCAATGCCTGTATTTTTTTACCTATTATACATACAAATAAGCGGTGAAATTTCGGTAATTCCCATATATTGTATTTATAGTGCATAATAAATAATTTTATACAAAAATCTCGTTATCGTGTTGTAGAAGTACCTACCGTGTTATAAAATAGTTTTGGGGATTTTTTCTTTACATGTTAGACTGGAACCGTGTTGTAAAACATCGTGATATAGGAGGGTTACCTGTGTGCTTAGTGCGAGTTTTTTAACGTACTCGATAGCGTAAAAGTTAGCTCATATATGTATGGAATGGGATCGTTTACGTACGTTTGCCGCTAGAGGCGCTGTTCCAACTGCATAATTGGGTTAACTTTTACGCTATCGAGAACGTTAAGAAACTCGCACTAAACACACTGTATTCCATTTATTTTCGTTCAGCAAATATATTCGTACCTGATAAAGGTCCAAATGTTTGCGATATGTCGTCACTGAATGATTTCTCTAACGTCCATTCTTCGATACAAAAGGCCACACCCATCATCGGCTCATCGCACAGGGGCCCGGCCAAAGTCGCCAATTGGAAGCCATTTACAAAACTACCCTCGTATTCAAATCTCGGGTCTTCTCTTATCTCTTTTTCGTGATGCAAATATTTTGTGCAATAATCTGCAGTATGGTTCAGCAGCATGTTTGGCCCACAGTTCCTGGGCCCGACAGACCATATCTGGTTTACAAGGTCCTTCCAATCCGGGCCCAGCTTGGAGCAAATACTTTGTAAATCCTCTTTAAAAGTCTCGATAAGTTTCAGCATACGTTCGGACAGTTTATGTTTGGTGCCATTCAAATATAGGCCTTCCATTTTGTTATCCAACTTGTCGTTCATTGATAACGTTTGCAAAGTCTTTATATGTTGCGAAATGGCTTTTAGTAAGTCCGCAGATCTGTCTAACAATTTCGTTATTTCGATTGGAATGGGTTTCGCTCGAATCTTGATTTTGCTTTGCTTGTTATTTGTGTATATTGTTATTATTGGATCTTCCAACTTTGTGTTGCTCTTGTCTACATTCTGCGAGGCGATCTCTTCATTGGCCATATCCATCTTCGGTGGTTCCACTATTGTTTCCCTGAACGGTACGATTGGTTCGGAAACTGTTATCGGGATGTTTGCGTAATTAGTCCTAGAAATTAAACGAGATTTATATACTACTAGCCGAACTCGCCCGCTTCGCTGGGCATTTAAAATGAACATTATTATTATTGTCATTATTATTAGGGAGTCCAACACTCATATATAAATATTCTATCCATTAAGTACAAGTATTTTCTACATGCATACCAAGTTTCAAGTCAATCGGATGCATGGTTATAACGGAATATATAGTTATAACGGAACATCCCTAAAAATCACTGTAGATTTATATATTAGTATAGATTACAACATAGAACATTTTACCAATGTTTTTTTGTCACTTTCAAGGTTTATAGTTTATTTTGTACTACAAATTACTAACAAACAATCAATTGCGAGCATCTATGAGCACCCTAGTTTTTATTACTATCATTGAGTTCATGGCCAAATTGAATTTCACTGGCAGTAGCCCGCACGGCTGGTTACTACTATTCTGTCTATTTTTACCGCTGTACAATAAAATTCCGATTTCGACCTCATATAGCTCGGGCTTTGTTGTCGAACAGACAAAGAGGCGAAAGCGCAAAGCTTTATTGCACATTATTTAAAAAAAAAATGGTGCAAGAGAAAACATGAAACTTATTTTGCGGTGTGTAGTATTGTGGTTTTCTTCATTTTTCATCCTTAAATCTAATTTCTCTTGTAATACGGAATGCTGTGTATAGGTGAAACGACCTAGCTCGCTTTGTCATTTCCTCCTCTCCATGGTCTAGTGGTTCGAGAGACGCTCTGCAGCTAAATACGATAACGCTAAATTGTATCTTTTCTCTATAGCCATAACGAATCTGTCGCGAGTTAAATTTTATCCTCAACACGCCTAAACAAGTTTCACTACAAAAATTTAGCATTAGCTTAGAAATAAGTTGTTACTGGTATTCGATGATTACCAAACGAGTCCTTAGGTTGTACTTAATATTATATTAATTGATAATTTAAAACATCACTTTTATTTAAAATGTATCTCGCTCTCTATATATATTTTAGAAATTAAACAATTCACACCGTTGGCTTCGCAATATAGTAGTTTATATGAAATCCAATAGATGTCGCTAAAATAAATATAATATAAGATAGTATGTTACTGCCATCTACAGGAGCTATGAGAAACTAATAATAATCCATCTAGTGGCCGACGCCCGTAAACAGTGATTCGCGAGACGCTCTGTCTATTTTCTCACTCTCGCTCTTCCTAAATTGTATATTTTCTTTCTAGCCGTAACCTGTTGCTATTTAAATTTTACTCTCAATGCGCCCAAAGAAGTTTCACTTCCAAAAATTAAAAAATAACCCCAATAATATACCTTAAATCTTCTAAGCATCTTTCAAGATGAACTTCCCCGGCGGTGACTAGTACATGCTCTCCAGTCTCTTGTAATAAAACTTGTACGCACGAATCAGATTGATTTAACAGTTTTAAACCTGAAAGGAGAATTCGATCACTAGTTAAACTTAATATTTGCTACAAACTGAGTTTTTAAAGTAATTTGTTTTAAAACACAAATATACTCAGAACTTTGACCAGATTAAAACAAAAAAAGTCACCTTTTAAATTATTCAGTTCTCACCTTTCACTAGTTGAGGCAACTGTGACGGATTAGTAGGCTCTATCGCTACTCTTAAAATCGGTACCACTGAGTATTGCATCTCGCTAAAAGCCGGACAAGCTACTGTGCTGCTCAGAGTTGCCGTCTTTAGTACATGCTCCTCTAGGCCGCCGATTCCTGTAATTTATTTTTAAATTTAACAACAAAGAAATCATATTCGGACCTATGATTACTATTATTATTAATCGTCACGGGGACTTAAGCATGTACACAGTGTAAGAGAGATTCAGTAGTCACAGAGATCAATTATTAGTTCGCCGTGAGTGAAAGCAATGTTCATTAGGATTTTTATAGTGTTTGGTTACGGGCAACGTAAAAATCATGAGTATATTTAATTCATTGATCGCGATATTTTTAGTAATATGTTAGGAATCTCGTCAAAATCGGTTCAGTGATAGGTACTACAGAATTGAGAAAACGCGGGTTTATGGAATTTGAATTATAAATATATGAGAACTATTGATATTCAGTTTAGTAAATTAATAATATTTTCCGTTCTCTTCAAGCTAGTGGTTTGTTTTAGTGCCTTGGACAATGGTCTGTAAATAGCCTTATAGCTATGATTATAGAACATCAATATCGACACTTAAATTAACAGATTTAGAAGCAAGCAGACATTTGTCTGCCTATAGACTGTAATGTACGTTTTTTTTTTCAAAATTCAAATGTCGAACCTCACCAATAATGTTACCAGCAACAGCTTCATCGATGTCTTCTAGTTCTCTTCCCATCAAAATGTATAATGATTTGATTCTGAAAGTTAATTCAAATACTGGCTTATTTAAAAAAAAACTACTTTCATTTAAAAATCATATAATATGATGAATATTTTAAATGGTAATCAAGCTTGACAAAGCTTGGATGACTATTCAAGATCATTCAGTCTAATAACTTGTCATACTGTAGTTAAAAGGACTAATCTATAATGCACAAATAACAACATCAGTAATCATTGCATTCACAAAATTAGGATAAAAAATATTGGAGTTTAATTTAATTTCCATTTTTTAATTTATATTCTGATGATATCTGATAAAATCGATATTATAATTTGGCAAGGCTGGCAGTAATCTGCTTTAGGGAAAAAACAAAACTCAACAAATCAGAGGTATCAACCTGGTACATTGAAATAAGCTTCCAGTAAAAAGCAAATACTTTATCCCTCTAACATGGACTGTAATAGGGACTTATATTCCATATTAGTTTATGTTTCGAATTTGTTAGGATTATTTAAAATAAGTTTATTTTCTTTTCAGTCAATTCGTTTAGTAATGANGTAATCTGCTTTAGGGAAAAAACAAAACTCAACAAATCAGAGGTATCAACCTGGTACATTGAAATAAGCTTCCAGTAAAAAGCAAATACTTTATCCCTCTAACATGGACTGTAATAGGGACTTATATTCCATATTAGTTTATGTTTCGAATTTGTTAGGATTATTTAAAATAAGTTTATTTTCTTTTCAGTCAATTCGTTTAGTAATGATGTTATTAACCATTATAACATAATTAATTAGTAGCCTTCTAAACATGGTGGCGGGTTTCAAACACTAGGAAAAATAATTAGAAATACCATAGCCATTAAAATGCTGACGTGTCAGTAAGATAACGAAATGTATCCACTGTTTACTAAAATATTTACTAACAATTTTTAATATGTAAATTTTAAATTGTTGCTTAACTCTGCAACAAATTTGAATAATATTAAAGCAGTTTCTTTCAAATCAAGTCTAATTAGTGGTGGGGCACATTGTAAGCCTTCAGGACTAAGCATCATCCTCCTGCCTATTTCAGTCATGTATTTCCGGTTTGAGGAGTCCGCTATACTGTAAAAATGAGACTTAGATCTCTCAAGGTCATTTTGAGATGTCTAATGACTCCAGTTAGTGCTTATACAGAGATAATAGAAAACTTTAACATGCTTACTCTGCACAAGTTATGTGTTCATCGCTTTGTAAATCTTTTAACTTTTTATTTGTATCTATTTTAATGTTACAATTAAGAATTTTAGAGGGATCATGCTTGGGGCCTAAGACATATACTCTATCACCTTTCTTAACTTTCCCACTAAAAATTCTAGCAAAAGCAATAAATGTCACTTTTTCTTTTTCATTCTCATCTTCAGCACTTTTCTCTTGTTCCTCATGTGGTGACTTTTCTTCTGATTGCCTATTTATATTAGCGTTATTCTGTTTTAACTCTTCACGCAATTGCCTTGCTTTTTCTCTTCTTAAAGCCATTTCTTCGGAAGTCAATGCTTTAGGCCTATTTTCTGGTAGAGCACTTTTATCAAAACTAAACATTTTAGATATAAAAATAATTATAGGTCTATTCTCATTACTATCACAGGCTAAAAAGTCTTCTTTTAATTTCTGTGTTTCTATATTGAAAGAATCAAAATCTCTTATTCTTGAACACATGAGTCTCTCCACTTTTTCTGGTAATATTTCTTTCGGAGATGGTAATTTTTCACATACCATATTTAAAATTGTATGAGACAATGGCAGCCATTGGACCATCAAAGATTGTAATTGGACTCGAGAATCTGTGTGTCTTAAATCTCTAGCAGTGAGCTTGATTCCCAGTTTTTCACAGATCACAGGCACTTTGTCTTTCTCATGCCTCATTACAACAGTTTCATAAACATTCCATAAGTTATCTAAAATTACTTGAACAAAAAGTGGTTTTTTAGCTTTTTCTTGGGCACCTTTCATGAACCGTTTAGTCTTTGTGTTCAAATAAAAATCACCCCATAGAACTTTCTTCAGAATTTCCTCCTTTACACCTATAATGAAAACAAACAACAATCAAAATAGTATTACTAAATTGCCCTAGAAATACAATAGTAGATTTGAAATTTTCATGGAACCAAAAAGTTATTTTGGTGATTGTATTAATTATCATCACTTCTTTACTAGCACAAGTTGGATCACTGCCAGAATTTAATGAAATGGTTTATATATGGAAATACCTATTTGTACACACGTACGTAACACACGTATTTAGTGTTTTTTTTTCCTACCTTTTCTAGTGACCTCGAGATATCATACTAGATAAACCAAATACCAATATCAGTTCTTGATAATTTATAGAACATACATACCAAGTTTATCAGAGAACAGTTTAGCAAAGGTTAGAGTTGTAAAGCCCCAACCATCGACAGCACTTGCAAATACAACATTTCCTTGATCTGGAGAGAAGTACAGGTGTGAATCATCAGCTTCTTCTAAAGCAGAAGTCCAGTCATAGAAGTTGTTGTCTTCTTTATTCAATGCCTCTTTTTCCTGAAAAAAATAAACAGATTTGTATTGTTAATAAGCATTACAGTTTTGTGGTTGTAACAAATTTTTTCAAATATTTTTTAAAGAAAATCTTGATTAGTTTCTTTTAAACTGCGGATGAAACCTTTGAATGAATAAGGGTAAACAAAAAAATTGTAATGAAATTGAATAAACAAGTTTTTTTTTTCGGTTTTTTTTTTCTTATTTAAGATTATAGCCTTGAGAGGCTATTTCAGCTCCTCCTTGACGTGAGTGTTGCTAACACTGGCCTTAGAAAGAGCAGTGCTACGCAGAATCTACCACCGGATCGGAAACACGACCCATTCAGAGCATCCGGCGAGAAACTTAGTGGGCTGTCTGTGTATATGGGTTAATTCACTCGTCGGTGACCTGTGCTTATGGTACCTAAAAGCACTGTTAATGGATCGGGAGGGTCTGTAATGACGTGTTGTTTACATTTCGATCCGTAGAAGGAAAATTAGTCACATACCTTTTTCTCCATACTGGCTTCTTCATTTTCAAATACCTCAGTGGTGAACAACTCTCCCACAACTGCATTAACTTGTTCTAGTACTTGCGTCAAATGTACGTATGCATCCAGAGGTGTGAGTTGCATTTCAACAATGAGTCTATCAATTTTATTGAGGACGAGCACTGGTCGAATGTTTTCAGAGTAAGCTTGTTTGAGTACAAGCCTTGTTTGTGGGCACACCCCTTCAACAACATCAACCTAGAATTGGCAGAATTCAAATAATTAAAACATGTGATTCATATTATTTAACTTCAAATATTTAACTTAGTTTAAACATTTTAATTTATGAATGAATTAATTGCTAAATATAGTTTGCTCCTGCATTGATACTTTGTACTTNATGTTTTCAGAGTAAGCTTGTTTGAGTACAAGCCTTGTTTGTGGGCACACCCCTTCAACAACATCAACCTAGAATTGGCAGAATTCAAATAATTAAAACATGTGATTCATATTATTTAACTTCAAATATTTAACTTAGTTTAAACATTTTAATTTATGAATGAATTAATTGCTAAATATAGTTTGCTCCTGCATTGATACTTTGTACTTGTTTAAGGTAGAATTTTTAATAAAGGTGATGTTAACAAAATAACTGTTAATTGAGAAAATAATAAATAATGGGGATTTAGTAATATTGACAACAATCACTTTTTAATGTTATTTGATCTTTCCCATCATTTCCCACATTATGAGAAGAACTCTGTAAGAGTGTGATGTTCACTCAAGCACACACACACATTAGTATCAATATTTTTTATTAGACAATTAGATATTTTGTTTAACATAAAGGGCATTGAGTGTACCATTCTTTTTTAAAATATATGACGTATGATATGAATATCATTAGTAGAACTGTTCATACATACAACAACAATGGCTCCATCGCAAAGCCTTACAGCAGTGGAAACTTCACTTGAAAAGTCAATGTGCCCCGGCGAGTCTATGAGGTTCACCAGGTATTCTTCTTGATTCATAGCGTGATACAGCGATATACTGCTACTTTTCATAGTTATGCCTCGTTGTTGTTCATCTGGCCTGCTGTCCATATATCGAAGTTTTCCGGACATTCTCTGGGATATAATTCCATTACTGGATATCAAGGAGTCTGCTAGTGTGGTTTTACCATGGTCCACGTGAGCCACAATGCAAATATTACGAATATTTGATGGATTGTTTTGAAGTTCTAAAAGTTTCTTTGAATCTACGAGCCGCATTTTGATAGATTTTATTCTGTAGATGAACTTAACCCTTATAATGCTGTATTTTTAGTAGATGTCTGCAATGTGAGGTATATATATAAGTCAAAAAAATTGCGAAAAAGTGAGTATTTCTTGCACAACTTGAGAAATCGTTGTGCTTTCGCATGATAATGTTGACAAAAATTGACATTGACATTGTCTAATTTTCTTTTTGACAGCAGTAGTAGTTTTATTTTTCCAACTGGAAAAGCAAAGATCTTATAGCATGCAGCGTAATCTTTTATCATACAGCCAAATAATAAAGGCTCGAGCTAATTGTGTTATTTGAAAAGTGACCTAGAATGAAATAAAATTAAATTAAGTGAAGAACAAAATTGAACAAATGAAATTGAATTGAATTATACGTATTATAATAACACGGTGCGGTTTTTTTTTAGTGGATACATCATGTTATACATCAGCACAAAACATTAGAAGTAGCGCATAAATTAGTACTAACTGCATGCATTGGTGAACGAAACGGTTCATTTTTAGTTCATAAATATAAATATTGTTTTGGGGAAATAACCCCCTAGTAAGCTGATTAGAAATATTTGTATTTTATTAGAAGTCTATTAAAGCCATGCACGGGTAAATATTATTACAATCCGGCCTATTTGTACCACTCGTTCAACCGTCTGCGTCTGTACAATACAACAAAGTGTTTGATTTATCGTCAATGGGCTAAATATGAGACTAAACATACTATTACATATATATATTATATCAGACTACTAATAATTGGTATTTGTATGTAGTGTAGTACCTATGTAGTGGATTGTATGTGTGTATAAATATACAACTGCCTCTTAGAATCAATATCTTTTTGAAATACACTTGGTATTTGGGGCTTGTCTTTATAAGTTTTTGTCTTTTTTATGTGATTCCTGAACTCTTAACACACGACCCTAGTTTCTGTCCGGAGAATTTGATGTTATTTTAAAAAAAAATTGCAGATTCCGCGAACATTATTGACCTCTTAGATTTTTGAACATGGAATTGAATAGCAACGTAGATTAATACTCAAATACATAACGAAGGCGTGTTCTGCTTCTGGCGTAAATGTGCCGCTTTGAAAGACAGATGACCCACATTATGCCAACTACCACGTCTTAAAACTGCTATTGTAAGTTCTCTCGCTTCCTCCAAATGATTTACATAGCTTAATATATTTCATAGTTTTGTTCCGTACCTACGTGTTCAAATTAAAACTTTTTGAATAATACTGAATTAAGTTATTATTAAATGGTAAATTTAAGTATAAGAGCGGATTTTTGGCATTAATATTTTGAGCAGTGTTTGTTTGGAAGATGAAGCAAAGTTATGCAGGTATAGTCGTTCTACTTATTTCTGCCGCAAAGTAATAATTAAGCTTTTTGGCTCAGAGCGTGGTAGCGTTGTTCGCAATTTATTTTAGGCTTGATCTCATGTTCATGCTACTTACCGTATGTTCCATGGGACGAGACCAGTAGTCTCAGGAATTATTTGATACGAATCGTCATATTTCCTGTTTCACCGTAATAATACTACATCCGAGCAGAATTGATTTCGATTACCCGGAGCTCCCATGTCCATTTGTGCAGTACCTACGTTTCAATAGTTAACTTTATCCTACTAATGAACTCCTTAATCCGAATGAAGTGCTCTACTCGATACTTTTAAGTCAATTAATTTTAATATTTATGCAAAAACATGATTCGCGCCAAAAATGTGTTCTTGAATTCATTATGTTCGGATCTAGGTAGCGTTTATTTTGTTTTCGGGTAATATGAGCTATAAAATTAGCTTATTTGATTGACGAAATGACTCTATAATAAATTGCTCCACCCTTTTAGCCGGAATGCATTACTGATAGATAATACACATAAATCTATATATTAATACGTGAAGCAAAAACTTTGTATCCCTTCGGAGAAGTATTTAATTTTCCACACTTATAGAGAATATAGAGAAGAAGTGCACAATGCTAATTTTTTTTTTTAAATAATGCATAAAAGATACATTAAATCAATAAAGAAAGCGTTACGCACACTACACACCATATATTTGCCGCACATACGCATGTATACTATTTATTTATTGTCAAACTTTTGTTCTGTGGTCAAATTGAGAATAGATTAAATATTGTTTGTCTTTATTAAGATATTTTCATAGTGTAGCCTTGGCGAAATTTGTGATTATAGAAGTATAAAATACAATTATAATAGTGTACAAACTTACAATTCCAAGTAATTATAGTCGAATTTCGACTACTGCGGGACCTCTAGTTAGTTATAAATAAGCAACTCAAGCACTCAACACAAATGTATACGGGCGTCGGCCACTAGATGGCTTCGCTTCGATTAGTTTCTCATTGCTTCTGTAGATGGCAGTAATATATTACCACCTATCCTATATTTTATTTTCAATGAAGGATTTTGTAAATTTTCAGGAACCACATATGATAAAAATTTATCCATTTGTCTATAGCAAATAAAGACATGTATGATTTATTAATTTTTTATTTTCTGTGTTTAGTTGTACAATAATTAAAGGCCTTAACTTTAACAACATATAAGTTTAGGGGCATCCACTACAAGATGTCGCTAGTTTCCATACAAAGAAAGATTTGTCTTAAATTATCGCAATTTCAGGGCCCTGATTACTAATTCGTGACAGAAATACCAGGGTAGTATCTACCCTTACGGGCTCACAAGAAGTCCTATTACGATCTCCATATTAATTTTGTAACAACTGTTATAATGTTATTTATGAAAGGAAAGTTATGAACTTATTCATTTTCGTTCGCATTTCTCATTCGGTTTACAGACAGGCAAAGTAGGAGCGCCTCGCTGTTTTACTTGTGCAACTTTGCGAGCGTATTTTCAGACCGGCTGTCAAAACTGCATACAACGTGAATTTAAAATTTCGCTCCTGCATTTCCAATCATGAAGCGGAAAACTTCGCTCTCCTCAGGTGAAAACAATTTTTTTGTCGAAGAAACCGAAAAAGTTATTTTCAATTTCCAAAGTTATTTCAGCAAATTGAAAAGGGTCTCGCGGATGTTACCGCGCAAACTAATTTCTAGTTTTACATCTGAATCCTTTATCTTGAAATATGTTTCCGAAATACGAATTTCGGAAATATTTTTGTAGAAGGCGTTCAAGTTACGTTAAAGGTACTTTGGTAGGCAGCGGCTTGGCTGTATCCTTGGTTTTTTTTTAATTGCTTAGTTGGTTTTTTAATTGGTGTAATAGCTCACAGCCCACCTGGTGTTAAGTGGTTACTGGAGCCCATAGACATCTACAACGTAAATGCGCCACCCACCTTGAGATATAACTGCTAAGGTCTCAGTATAGTTACAACGGCTCCCCCAGCCATCAAACCGAAACGGATTACTGCTTCACGGCAGAAATAGGCAGGGTGATGGTACCTACCCGCGCGGACTCACAAGAGGTCCTACCATCACGTCTTTTTGGAATTTGAAGCCAAAATCTTATTTGCTTTGGTATAGTTACTATTCCGCTCCTGAAACTAGAGCTTCCAACAGTAGGGGTAGACCAGTTACTCCACCCGGCTCCTGCAGGGATCGTCGATCGATCGAACCCAAGGCCCGGTGAGGTGGTGGTGTGCTGTGACTCCAACGCACCCCTCACTTTAGTGGAGTTCAGAGGGGGAAAAAGCCCCTAGAGTGGTAGACTTCGCCCTACGTACATAGATCGCGACGGAAACTGGCGAAGGCTAATCCATGGCGCGCACATGACGGTTACGGGGTTCCCGCTTAGCCGGTGTGGAGTAGCTCGATTGGGTTTGCTGGGTAGTCGCTTTGTGGGGCGGAACTTGCACGACTCACGTCTCGTGCCGTCTCGTGCACCTTTCTCAAGGCGTAGCCTCCTAGAATCAATTGGAAGAGGATGAGGTCGTCGGTCCGCATTTTCTGCCTATTATTCTCTGGAGTTAGATATAGTTTGTCCCGTATCCCCCGGGGCTGGGTATTCATAAAGTGGGGTGCCCCGGCGTTAAAAAAGGTAGGTCAATGTAACAACCCTCATTTGCAACTACTTTATTTAATGATACCGGACATATTTCTACTATAAAATCCGTTGCCTATTTTATTGTAAATTAACAAATCTGAATCTTTTTCGGTATGTAAAAGAAGAAGATAAGCGACTTAAAATATCAGGGAAACACGCCATGAGAAATGAAACATGTAAATTTATTAATGGCAACGAAGATTTCACTTTATTATTCATGTTTATTTTATTTGGAATGAATTTTGTTTGTGAAACGAGATGATTACTGAAATACTTCATTGGCATTGACAGTATTAAAAGTCTGATTCGGACTGTGTGACAGCAGCTCGGCTAGCGGCAGGCAGCGTCTTGGCTACCGGTAGGCAGCGTCTTGGCTATCGGTAGGCAGCGGCTTGGTTATCGGCAGGCAGCGGCTTGGCTATCGGTAGGTAGTGGCTTCGCTCTGCCCCTGGCATTGCTGAAGTCCATGAGTAACGGTAACCGCTCACCATCAGGTTGGTTGTATGGTTGTCTAGCCATAAGGGCAATAAAAAAGATCAGCTTTTAGATATCATGTTTTTTTTTTCCTACCTAAGCTGATAGCCTTGTGAGGCTATATCAGCGGAACCTTAACCAGTAGGTGAGCTCACGGGGCTCAAAACTCACGACGTTGCTAACACAAACCATTACAAGTGCCGTGCTGCGCAGAATCTACCACCAGATCGGAAATGCGACCCAGTGAAACTCAGTGGGCTGTGTCTGAGGGTTAATTTACTCGTCGAGCCCTTCGTCGCAAGCGACGGGTTCGACGAGAACGATGACCGGTGCTTGAGGTACCTAAAAGCACCATTAGTGGATCGGGAGGATCCGAAATGACGTGTTTGGGGCGACGTCGACTGCTTTCCATTCTTTCCGCAGGATCGGGAATGTCATGACTCTAAGTTCGCGCTGGCATTCATAGTGTGGTAAGCGCCACTAATCAGTCTGCTCATCTGAAATAATAAAAATCTATTACATAGTATAGATATACCTAATCAATACCATGCCAAAAATAAGCTCTTATTTTTAATGAGCAAAAATAGAAGCGACTTGGGCACGACAATAAAAACAACTATCGC